TATATATATAATATATATATTATAATATATATAATTATATATTATATATATATAATATATATAATATATATATATATATTAAATATATATTATAAATATATATATATATATATATATTATATATATAAGTTATATATATATATATATATATATACACAGACATATAATTATATATATATATAATATATATATTTTATATAATATATAGATATATATATATGTAATATATATAATATATATATATTATATATATAATTAATATATATATATATATATATACATACATATATACATATACACATACATACATACATATATACATACATATAACATACATATATACATATACATTTTATATATACATATATATTATATAATATATATATATAATATATATATACTATATATATATATATATATATATATATATATATATATATACATTGTGTGTGTGTGTATTTTCATGCATGTACATAATTTATATGAATATATACATATAAGGATTAGTGGAAGCAGGCAGAATGGTGCTACATATTCACTTTGATTATGCTTACTAAGTGGAGTTCATTCATATGTCTTGCACTAGTTAAATTAAGGGTTTTTCTTCAACCTAACCATACTTCACTTTTGACTATCTAAGGTTTTAAATCCTTTCAAATGTTAAAACCACAATTTTGATTTAAGGAAGCCATGAATATCCACCTTAGTAAAAAAAAAAAATACTTTGTAAAACCACAAAATGACAAATGGTAGAATCTATACAAAACTTGTTGAAAGATCACTGCTACACAATTTGTATTATCTTTGTTTCCATGAATCAAGTCTTTAAAGGACTATATAAATCAGTTGCTGTATCAATGCATTGTCTTGACCTTTTCACACATTATACATATCCCTTACTATATCTACAAAATGGCTAGCAAAAGTATTTTATTAGTTTTAAACTAAGCTTATTTAGTTTATCTGGTTGCTCAACATGTAGCAAATATAAAATGTGTATTAATAATTTATTGATATCCAAATGTATTCCAGTTTATTCACATATGTAGTTCTGAGAAAAATGTTTGATAGATTTTTGGTGTGCATTTCATTAGATTCTAAACAATTGGCTTTACACCGAGGTACTCAATAAAATATTTACTTAAACCCAAGAGAGGTTTTGAGAAAAACAAACATAAAAATATCAATTTTATTTGAAAATTCATAATTTTCCACATCTGCAGATGGTTTTCCCCATAACTGCAGTAACTTCTAACAATGAACAGAAAGATTTCTATCAAAATTACACCTTTCAGTGTACATATTTGTAACACTTGAAATATAACAATTTATTTTTTAAAATATTATTGTATAATCATCCATGCTAGACATAGGAATGACATACAGAAATAAAAAAAATAAAAAAAAATAAACGCTTTAAAAATCATTTTCACCTAACATCTGCACAACAGTATGCAAGAATTTAATAAAACAAAATGCCATGGTTTTGAAACACCTAATGAACAAAGGTATTCTCCAATTTCCTATAGACTGGCTAACTCAATGAAGAAAATAATAATAATAAAACTGAATATCTCTTGTAAAAGTAACAATGATAAAGGACAATGCCCAGATAAATACTGACAGTGCTGGACTGGTCACAGGTGAAAATGCCCCTTATTTAATGGCAGTGTCATTGGCACAAATTCTTTGGAGCCAGGGAGCAACACACAAAAGCCCTAGCTCCTTTATAAATTCGTTGACTCAAAAAGGAAAAGGAGTCTGGCTCCTTTAAGTTGTATTTGTAAGGCTCCAACATGAAGTCTTTATAATAGCCCTGCAGCATCACACAGATAACACAAAGATGAACGCAGTGTTGAAACTCCCAAAGATGATAATATTTGCGCATATATGTTTAAACTGAAGAAAAAAAAATACAAAAGCTGGCATGATGCAATGATTCGTTATACAAAACAGCACTACGTCTCTTGTTAGTTTAGGAGTTGAAGAGGAAAAACAATGAAAAAATGTACTTCATATATTCCTATGAAACACCATTGCACTCGGCACTAAAACAAAATAAATTGTAATCCCCTTACGGAAAAAGACTAGATTTGTTTTACCAGGCACAGTCATAGTGATATGTACACAGCCTGTCTTCATGACAGCAAAATGCCACTCCTTGCAATGCTGACCACTAAGATCCTCTCCATCTTGTAACTCCAAAGTGTTTTATTTGGCTAATCACTATCTATTCGATTTGAACCTTATTGTAATATAACATACCTAATTATGTACAAGAATATAAATTAAGAGAACTCACTAACAAGCCCATGATGACAGGAGGAACCTGCATGACGTCAATAAATTACCAATTTATCATCCATATCATAAAGAACTCATACCAAAAACTGTCAATACTTCAAGACACTGAATAACCCAAATGTAATTTTCCCATTAAAACAACTCAAATATCCTGTAACATCCACAACATGTAAGAAAATATGATGTCTAGCATGCGCATTAGTGAGCAAAGCAAATATACAATATTTTTTATATATTTTTTTTGTTTGTTAGGTCACTATAACTAGCATAAAATGCCTCTGATATGTATAAGCATGGCCATTATCATGCTTGATATGTTTAAAAGAGATGGCTACATGGCTTCAACCACTGCATGCATAATCCTACAGAAGACACCCTGTAAAACTGGCTTACAATATACAGGTTTAATCAAGATATAATCCTGAGCCCTAAAGATCATGCTGGAAATATCTAATCACCACTATGGAATGGACCAAATGAGTGTTATTGAGCCATTTGCACACTTAAATCTACACTGTTGAACTTCCTATCCAGTATACTCTACAAATCTAGTCTTCTCATCAGTTTTGGGTGGAGTGAGCATAGCCACAGAAACTTCTGTGGTCTGAGGGCTACTCCGAGAGGATGACGACTGAATCTGACTTAATCTAATCTGAGCTCGTTCCTGGAAACAGAAAATTAACAATTAGTATTCTCATTGGCCTGGAGAGAAAGACTATCAGCAAAATATATAAAAAACATGTGAATAAATATGTATATATATATATATGAATGAATAATAAAAAAAAAAAATAAAAATAAAAATAAAAATCAGTCTTACCAAAGTGTCAAGATCAACTGAGTGTGTCTGAATGTTATGGATGTCATCTTGGGCCACTTGGCTGAAGGACTTCAACTGCATTGGCCCCATTTCATGCACTGTGACTGCAAAAGCTGCCATCCAATCATAGCATGCTTGCATCTCCTCTGTAGAATAACCCGATACTTGACTTGCCAACTGTGGGGAGGTCATGTAGCACATTGCAGTAGCAGCAACTATGCTTGAGCTGAAGGACAAGCTGGAAATCTCAAGGGTACACAGATCCAACAATCTTGCTGCTGGAAGGAGAAAAGACAAAATTAATCATTTCAAATATATTGTCTTTCAAGATGATCTCAGAATGGGTATCATCTGCAAAACACACAAAATAAGACAATATGAAGTGCCTGCCTGAACAAATGTTAACGGTGAGTAACGAGGATATACAAAACTATGATCATCACTGGAAGATTCTCCACCATTGGCCTCTCGCATGGCGAATTCTTGGCTCAACTGCAGGTATGTGTTTAACCAGCAGTTTGAGGTTACAGGACACAAGTCCCAATTAAGTTTCTGGAACAAAAATTTTAATTAAATAGCTGAAATCTCTACATTTTCAGGTCATGAAAATAAAACAGCAAACATAATACCAATAACAACAACAACAATAATAATGATAATAATAAGAATTCCAATTACTTTCAAAATAATCCAATTTTCCCTGAAATATACATTCACCATATCAAACACTAATTCTTACCTGTAGTATGACTAGCTCTTTTACTAGGATTTCATTTTCTATACAGGCACCATCTGTCACATATGCAAACTCTGACAACTTTGGTGGGTAAATTTCTTCTATTTTTGCAGCTATGAATAAACATGTTATACCTGCAAAATAAAAAAAATG